GCTTCGGGCTCGCCCTTGACCGTTGTTTTTGCTGCACGGTGTTCTAATGTGCCCGCTCTGTCGGGTGGTCGGTTGATGGGTTTTACCAGGTGGCAGGTGGTTGAGGACGCAAGTATGGAATTGGGCAGGCAGCAAGTAACAGCGCTGTTGGATGGCCCAGAGTACATCGGTGAACTCCCCAGCACGAGTCCCGCTCTCGGGGAGCCCTTGTCTGAGGTGGCCTGACCCCACTCCCTGTGCTCCTAGCTCCAGCCTCAGGCCCCGTGCCAGAGCAGCCCCTCCAGCCACGGATTGCACTTTCCAGGTGAGGAAAGGATACCTGGACCCCAGACTGTCTTCTGACACTTCGTAGAACTATTTCCAGTAGTTTGGTTCTGCCTCCACGATGAAGAGATTGGTGGGGAGGGTCCCTGCCTGTCAGTCCCTGCTCAGGTGCTGCCCCTCCCAACCCTGGTCCCTGCTGTGCCGGCATCGAGACCGTGCACGTGGCTTGCCCTCCCTTGAGAGCTCTCCCTGCCGCTCCCTGGCGGAGCAGGGCCCACGTGTGCTGGTCTGCACCACCCCTCTTTTCAGAGGCCCACTGGGACCTGGGTGAGCCTGGGCGGGAGGGGGGCATCTTGCTCTCACACATCCTTCCTGGGGCACAGGCTGCACGGAAGTGGTCTCGGGAACCACGCAGGGTTTATTGCAATTCTGGGCTCTCTCCTAAGCCGACCCAGCAGCTGCGTCTTCAGTTGAGGTTGGGGAGGAGCAGGTCCCACAGCAGCACTGGGCCTGCCCGCTTGCCTCTCCTCTCTATTTTGTTTTAGTAATCTCTACACCCAGTGTGAGGTTTGAACTCATGACCCCGAGATCAAGAGTCACCTGCTTTTCCGACTAAGCCAGAGAGCCAGCTGCACATGAGGTGGGGTGGCCGGGCGGGACATTCTTCCCCCGGGACTGCCCCCCCTTCCCTTCCATGTGGGGGCTGGGGCCTCAGCAGGCGACCCCACAGGACCACGATGGGAATGATGAGTGCGCCCTTCTGGATCGCGGTCTGTGCCCGCTCCTGAAGCAGGAGCAGGTCTGCAGAAGGCAGGACGCTGTGCAGGGGAGGTCCAGATGTGACGGGCCGAGGAACGTGCCCGGGAAGGGAAGGTGGCTGTGGGCCGGCCCACGCCCGGAGGTGGATGGAGGGTTGGAGCAGGAGACATGACCCCTGGGCCCAGGCAGTTCTGATGTCTCCTCAGTGGGAAGAAACCAAGGCTGGGGGGTGGACACTCCTGAGCGCCCAGAGGCGAGAACCAGCACCCTGCAAGCTGCTTTGACGGAGCCAGTGGGCGCTCCCCTCTTGGGAACGGTGGCCTGGTGGTGAGGAAGGAGAGTGGGTGGGACTCAGGCCGTGTCCTGTCACTGGCCTGCTGCGTGAGCTCAGGTACTTCCTGCCCCATCCCCAGGCCTTGCCTGCACACCTGTCGCTGGGGAGATGGGTCAGTGTCCGTCGCGGACACCATCCGGGGAATGCTGTTTCCTCCCGGGGAGGCAGACCCTCCGGATTCAGGCAGCACGTACCTCCCCCGCTGCATGCCATGTTGGCTCACGTGTCCTGGGAGAGGCAGAGGGTCCCTGGCCCACAGGTGAGGCCACTCTGCCTGAGGTGATGGAGCCAGTAGGGAGAGCCCAGGCCCCACGCAGGCCCTGCCCCCAGCTTTCCCCAGCCTCCCGGTTCCTCCAGCCAGGCTGCAGACCCCCTGGGAGGAGTGGGGGCTGTCCTGGAGGTTGAGGGTGCCCCTCGTTCATGGGCCCAGGGCACAGGTGCCGGCAGCCCCCTGTCCCTGATGCCACGCTGAGGCCCAGCTGGAGGGTTGTCTTCACTCTCAGCCTGCGTCCTGATCTCTGGAGCTTTAGCTGTGCAGTGAGCACTGTGCTTCTGTCTGACCGGAGCCAGTGTGGCCTCTGCTACGGCCCAGGTTAGGCTTGGCCTTCCTGCCACCAGCTGTGGTGAGCGGTGTGTGCATGTGGGCTGGCTTTCTCCCACAAAGCCACAGTAAGATGTCAGCCTGTCGGCACAGGGCACGTTTCCTGTTTCATAGGGAGCAGGGGCTCACGTGCACAGTTGGCACAGTTGGACCCCAGTCGGGCAGCCTCTGAGCCTCAGACTCTTCCTTCCTTGCCCCCGATCCCTCCCCAGCTCCTGATGAGCGACCGGTCCTGGGAACCACTGCCCAGAGCTTGTCTGGAGCTTGCGGAGGAAGCTCGTCCTGAGCCAGGACATGGCTCCAGGCTCAACTCCTCTGCCGATGGGCCAGGTGGAGGCTTGTGTGTGTGCCTGGAGCTAGTCCTGTGGTTTTAGATGCCCGTATCAAGTCGACAGCTCATAAAAGTTGAACCTAAGAGGAACTGGGGCAGAGTCCGAGCCCGGCCTTCTGGTGGCAGGCCCAGCCCTTCTCAGCTCTTGGCGCAGCCCCTGCCCCCCTCTGAGAACTGGCCCTGGTGGGTCAGGAGCCAGAACCCAGGCTGCTGGGTGGACATCTCTGCCCTTCACCACCCTCCTCCAGATCTGCCACAGACTGGCCTCTGGGTGGCAGGGCACCTTCTGAGCGCTGTGTGCTGTTCCCAATCTGTAAAGACCTCTGTGAGCGGGCTCACGGAGATGAGCTCTGTCAAACCCCAGAGTTCTCTGCAAATGTCAGCGCGGGTAGCGGCCGGGTATGTGCGGTGCCTTTGGAGAGGGAGCCTTCAGGCTGACCCACAGGTGAGGGCGCTGGGCCCAGCAGCACTGGGAGCCTGGGAAGACCCGTCCTGTCACGTGTCACTGCCGGCTGCCCGGGGCCAGACCTGGGGGTGGCCATGCGGGAGCCCTGGAGATGTGGCCCCGTCCAGACAGAGATGTGCTCTGAGCATACAGCCCACAGCGAATGCAGAGACTTAGCATGGAAAACAAGGTCGCAGAATTCCGTTACCACTTTCGTATTGCTTCTGCGCTCTAGGGAGGACGTCTCTGTCTCCGTGGCGCTGGACCCCTGCAGGCCTGAGCTCCCACTTTCTGCCTTGGCTGGCACCTGCCCAGGCCCGGGCTGCGAGTCCCAGGGGCCCGAGCCCCCTGCCTGGTGGAGTTGTGGGGCGAGCAAAGGGGTGTGCGCATGTTTCAGTGTCTGGCCTGGGGGACCGTCAAGAATGGCTCATAGCGAAGAGTTGGGGGTCTTTAAATTTGGCTATGTTCTAGGTTCTTTTTCTCCTGCTGGAGTTATTTTTCCTTTCACCACATTTTGAAAAATAAAATGTGGCCACCAAATGTCAGGAGGCATTATTCCACCATGTAGACAAGCAGAGAGAAGGTTCCAGAGCCTAGGGAGAAACCCTCATCCCCTCCCCCAAAGCTGCTCCAATGCTGATCAAATTTTGGATTTCCACACACGATCTCAGGGAGGAAAATCAATTTCCCTTGCTTTACAAAACCTCGTAAGCATTGAGACTGGTGTCTCCTGCTTTCCAAGTGGGGAATTCCGGAGGATGGCTGGTTTGTCCTGACTCTCCTCTGCAGCTGGTGGCAGGACCACAGCGACCTGTGGGGAGTGGACTTGAGCAGCTCCTGGCCCATCCTGGGCTCTGGCCGCCTCTGTGCCCCAGCCTGGGCCAGCCGCTCCTCCTCCCAGCTCCCTGTGTAAAGAGGAGCACTTGATCGTTGCTCCTGGGTCTGGGAAAGACAAGGGGCCTTTCTCTGGGACACAGAGGGCTGCTGTCGACCCTTGTGGAGCCTGAGCGAGGGCTGGAGACCATGGCTACATGCCTGGGGCTGGGGCTGGGGCGAGCTGTCACCCCAGGAGCCTCTCCTCGGGCCCTGAGGCTCAGAGCAATCCACGTTTTAACCAGGGCAGCTGCCGTGCTCGGGAGCAGGTGCAGACTAGTGACGAGGCACCCAGTGAGCAGGGCATGGCCAGCATCCACGTCACAGCCCACGTCACCCTGGGCTGCACTGCCTGTGTATATGTCAGACCCCTCCCCCTGAGTCTCTCATTTGGCAGAAAGCCCACACTGGACAGTCCGTCCCAAACCGGACACTGGTGCGAGGTCCGCGGGAGGGGGCCCATCAGCTGACCCCACAGACGCTGCCCCTGGACGACCCAGTTTCCAGAGAAGGGGTGGGGGACGATGCCAGGGGTCCACCGCGCTGTGGCGTGTGATGCCCCTCACACGCTCTGCTGCTCTGGGGGTGGCTGCAGGTGCGAGTGCGGGTCTGTGTGGGCCGGTGTCCGTGGTCAGCTCGGTCTGGAATGGGTAGTCTTCATTCACGCCGTGACGGTTCGTGTCACCCCAAGTCTCCAGCGGAAGGCCTCACCCCAAGGGCCTGACACCACGGTCCGAGTGCAGAGGGGGCCCCAGCAAAAGGAAGGTGGCACATTGAGCAGACTCCTGTGGGCTCCGCGCCTCCTAAGCGCATACTGTCCCTGCTGTGGTTTCACCAGAGCGAGCCGGCACAAAGGTGCCAAACAGACCTCCTGCGAGATGGGTGTCCTGTGTGCCCTGACCCAGACAGCAGAGGACGGCCATCGCCCGTGTGCACGGTGAGACCACTCATTCTGTGGCTCGAGATGCCCCCAAGCCCGTGTCAGCCAGCACGGCGCCCACGCAGGCCCCAGGCCCCACGGGAGGGTTACAGCAAAGCAGACACTGTGCCCCCAGCGTGTCCAGATGGCCCCAAGAACACATGAGTGAGGCGAGGTCCACGGGGGTCCGGGCTGAAGTTGGGCCCCCACTGCAGACGGGTCTGTGCTGTCTCTCGGGAACCGTAAACATGGCAGCATATCAGCCGCATGTTTTAGGTCTTCAGGTACTTGTGGGGGTGACTTCGTGGCTCCGCCCCCGCACAGCAGCCCCGGAGCAGGCAGAGAGCCCAAGGAGCCCACCTGCATTTGCCTGTCTCCTCTGGGGGGACCAGCTTCCACATGCCCCCAGGCCACAGTGTGCCCCTCTCTACAGGGGAAGCCACAGCCTTCGGGAACACCTCACCCAGGTACGTCCTCAGGGCCGCCCCGAAGGGAGACTGCAGAGAGATGGCACCTCGAGGCACGTGTGGTGCTGTGGGCAGCCCTCGGTCCCGTCCCTGCTTGGCCCTGAACGGTCTCACACGGTGGGTCAAGGTCACAGGTGTTTAGAGCTGCTGGGCCGGTGCAGCCACGGGGCTTGCGTACAGCCAGGGGTCTCCTCTCCCTGTGCCCTTCACCACACCGCGCTCTGCCTGCTGCCCCCCCACCTGGCAGGTGCGCAGCCGTGACCCTGTGCCCGAGGGCGTGCGCCTGCCAGGGAAGGAGGGTGTCCCGGCAGACGGGGTGGTCACAGCCCCTGTCCCTCGAGTCCGCATGGGGTCCTCCCTGCCTCCTGGGTCTTCCTTTCTTAGACAAAGGCTCTGCTCCTCGAGCCTGCAGAGAAGGAAGGTCTGTTGTGACCTGAAATCCCCCAGCATGAGTGGGAACAGGGCACCCTAACATCAGCTGCCAGATGTGGAAGCCGGCTGTTGAGTCGTGTGCAGGATGGCAGCCCTCTGTGCCTCCTGGTGGCCCGAGCTCCTGGTCCCGGACCTGAGACTCCGGCATCTGTCCCTGAACCTCTGTGCCTCCTGGTGGCCGAAGCTCCTGGTCCCGGACCTGAGACTCCGGCATCCGTCCCTGAATCTTGGAGTTGATCATGCCCCAGAGGTGATGTCACCCCACTGTTGTGCCTACAAGGACCACACGTGCCGGCAGCTTCCCCTGCCTGCAGTGGCCCACTCTGTCTCTCCTCTAAGGCTCAGGAGGACTGGGGGAGCCTTGGACAAGGGCTCCGGCCAGGCCATGTCTGGGGCTAGGGACACATGGTGGGCACTGCTGTCCTTCCAGATGATTTCTCAAGACCCCATAGCTGCCCCCACCCCAAAGGCTGCCTGCTCCCCAGGCCCTGGGACCCCACTGCATCACTGGGCTGCTGTACTGGGCACAGGGGATGAGCTGGCTGGGGACAGATTGGGGGTTCTGAGGGACTGGGACAGGGGTGGTCCAGCTGCTGTGTGCGGCCTTACGTCAAGGGTGCTGGACCGAGAAGCAGGTGCATGCAGCCACTCTTTCCCATCATAGGCCGTCTTAGACTGGATCCCCCCAAAAGCAGAGTGGCAGACATATTAGGCACAGGAAGCTGATTTGGAGACATGGCCCCAGGAGCCTCAGCACAGCCCTGGAGGAATGGTCGAGCACCCTTCCCACCCCACAGGCCTGACCCCAGTGCCCACCAGAGGTTTTGGTAGGTTCCCGTCACAGAAATGAGCCAAAGGTGCGGGGCCAGGAGTGCCTGGCCTCCAGTGGCCGGTGTTGGCATGGCAGCCCCCCGGGGGTCCCGTTTGTGTGGTTCTCCCTGCAGGAGAGCCCGGGGTGAAGGAAGACGGGCCCAGCGCCAACAGTACATGTGACCCTCCCTTTGTGAGGTTGGGTATTCGCCAGAGGGAGAGAAAAATCTCGCTGGGTGTCCGCCCCATCTGCCCACACTGTGGCTTGAACCTGCAAATCCTCCCTCTGGCCTCCTCCCCTGTGTCCCCTTCCTGGGGAACGATGGTGGGTGTTCACTTTTGCGGGTTCTCTTGTTTGGGCCTTGGGTGTCTGCAGGGGAGCCCCTGCTCTGTGACCGAGTCCAGCGCCCAGAAAGGCTCCTTTCCTGGGTCCAAAAAAGTGCTGAGCCTGTTCTCCTTAGAGCCTACTTCCTGCAGATCTTGTCTGAGGGTTTTTCTGCCTGGGTGAAGCCTGTGGCAACCTTCCCAAATCAAAGTAGCGCCATTTCTCCCTGTGTCAGCCAGGAGTTATCAGGGTAAAAGAAAACGGTTGTTTATTTCGTGCACTTGTATTTTCTCAAACACGGTCAACTTTTCTATCAGAAGTCCCCGTATTTCCTTTGGTTAATTGACTCCACTCTCCAGTCTGCGGGGTTTTTGATTTTGTTTCTTTTCCGTACATTTGATGCATGTAGTCAGTGTTTTCGTTGCCCTCGAAGCTGGCACGGATTTAATTTTTAAATGCGTTTCTAGTAATCACATGAGCGCTACATGACTTACCATTGTACACAAAAACATTTACGTTGAGAAACATGGAGACGACATAGACGAAATTCAAGGTCCCTCGGCCACACCGCCCGTCTGTCCCTCCCCTCCCCCCACCCCTGCGGCAGCTACGGCAGGTCCGTTTGTCCTGCCCAAAGTTTTCCATGCACGTTGAATTGTTTTTGTGCCTTTTGAAATGCAGCCCAGGACACGTCTAACTAAGAGAATGTGTTGCTGAAAGTTGGATTTCCCGTATTAGGAGATTTTGTATGCTGTCCAATCTAGAAGACCAGAGACCATGGCTGCGCTGCCGCCCGGTAATCCATCTTCGTAGAGCTGTGTGCTTGCACTGAGACCACAAGCTATCAACTCCACATGTTTGTGACAAGCAAACAGGCAGCACATGTGGGTGATGGCAGCTGAGCCCCACGCGGTCGGCCGAGTCTGTTGTTTTGGAAAAGGGTCGTGTTCACAGCTGCGATCTGCTGCCACCCCACACTGCCCCTGGAGAGTGGGCCGGGCCTGCAGGGGCTGGGGGTGCTGCCCCTCCCCACCGTGTCGCTCTCTGAAGACCCCTCCTTCCCCTGAAAGTTGCATCCCCAGAAGGGGCTCCAACGGCTTCCATTACTGGCCTCCTGCATTCCTTTTCAGATTTGTTTGTGTTTACGTAGGCTGTTCACAAGCCCCTGGGCAACCTTAAACCCCGAGTAGCTTCGCTTCGGGAGGCTTCGGTGTTGGGGGCAGGCATGTCCAAACTGTTATTTGCTAATTACAACCTAGTTCTGCGGAGGGTTATCAGATCAGTGGCAACTGGAGAAAGTTCTTTCTCGATCCAAAGAAAATTGCATTCAGCTCCACCTCCTGGGACGGTGGCGTTGCCGAAGCTCGCGGCCGAAGCTCGCGGACGCTGTGCTTTAGAAGTGTTTTGCTTCCCGTGGCGTTGGCGCTGGCCTCCCACTGCACCAGCGAGGCTACGGGACACAGGAAGCAGGAGGGTCCCGGGTAGGCCCCCACGGCCCTCACCCCGTGCTGGGAGGTCCCTGGGTCCAGCCAGGCCCTGTCCTGCCATCTCCCATCCCGGCCCCACTGCGGCTGAGACACCTCTCTGCCCCTGCAGCCCCGTGCCCTCACAGGATGGTAGCAGCAATGGGGGTGACCCCGGCCAGGCCAGAACGGTCAGGGCGCCCAGAGCAAAGGGACCAGGTGAGGCCCACAGCTGGCCTGTGGCCCCTGCCCCTGCCAGGTCACAGCCCTGCACACCTGGGCTCCACTTCTTGATCTTCAAGCAATGCCCGGGACTGTTGTGTTTTTCACAAATGGTTGCTTGGGTTCGTGTGCTACCCGCCTCCGGGCAAGGACCACAGCTGAGGGAGGGGCAATGGTCCGTCACTCTGTCTCCCTTCCCAGAAGTAGCTGTGGGAGAGGGAGGGGCTCTGGCTACTTTCCTTGGCGGCCCCTTTCCTTGGAAGAGAACCAGAAAGGGCAGATGCGGATGCCTGCAGGCCTGTCAGAGTTTAGGAAAAGGAAGCCTGGTCTAGCAGGTGGAGCTTCGGTCTTGGGCTCAGGGGTGCTTCACACGCAGTGGTTGGTTTTGCCCACAGACTGCATTGTTTAATTGGAACTGCCGGCATTTAGAAAATTCGGGAGGTTCCACCTGTCGTTCTCTGTTCCCAGCTTCTCTGGAGAGGCCTTTTGGCTCGGGCCGTGGCCCGGGTGTGGGCATCGGTGGGTCTGGAACCCTCGGCATCCCTGGCTGGCCCCTGGCGCAGTCAGGGGCAGGCGTCGTGGCCCTCGGAACAACTCTGGAGGCACACTTAGCTTCCTGAGGACACGGAGCGCGGGCTGCAGCCACCGCCACACCAGGGTGACTGCTGGCCAGAGAGAGAAAGAAGCTGTGTGTGTCCTTCCTGGGTTTGCGTGCCTAATACCAGACAGGGGCCCTTCATGCTGGGCGTCACCCCAGGCTGTGCAGGCAACGCCGTGTTCGGGTCCCCGCCGCCTGCCTGCTGGCCCCTCCGTGGGGACCGGGCCCTCAGAGGGAGTCCGTGTGTTGTGCGTCAGCCTCCTCCAGCCCCAGGGGCAGCCTCTGTATAGCACAGGGTCAGCGGGGCAGGGGGCAGAGGCCCCATCCTGGTGACACCTGGCACCGTGAAGGGTGCTTCCTGCCCTCCCTGCCCCTCCCAGGCCCCCCGGGTTCGGTGTCGACACGTCCTCGGCCCAGCGCTGCTAGGGCCCTGACCTTGTCCCAAGACTTCGGCCCCGGGTGGCCACTGCCGTGCTGCCTGCGTGGTCTCGGGCGGGGGGCGAGGGGCCAGAGGCCGGTCTGCACCGAAGCTTGTTTGCCAGACGTTCTGTGCTGCCCGCCCCATGAGCCGCCTTGGGCCCAGCACTGTCGGAGCAGGGAGCCCCGAGGGAGACTCCCCGTGGACGTCCACGTCCCGGTCCTCAGACTGCTGTGCCCTCGACCTCAGGAAACCCCACCTGAAAACCAGACGCCCTCTGGTAGCTGGGGTGCTGGGCTCCTGGGGCCGTGTCTGTGAGCCCTGCGTGCGAGTGTCTGTGTGTCTGCATGTGTGTCAGTGCACGTCTGTGTGTGTGTGCACGTGTGTCTGTGTCTGTCTCTGTGTGTGTGTCCACGTGAGTGTCCATGTGTGTCTGTGTGTCTATGTGTATGCGTCTGTCTGTGCGTGCGTCCGCGTGTGCGTGCGTGTCCGTGAATGTCTGTATCTGCGTGCGTGTCTGTGCGTGTCTGCGTGCGTGTCCGCGCGTGTCTGCGGGCGTGTCCGCGCGTGTCTGTGTGCGTGTCCGTGTGTGTCTGCGTGTCCGTGCGTGTCTGCGTCCGTGTCCGCGCCGTGTCTGCGGGCACGTTCGTGTCTGTCTGCATGTGCGTCCGCGTGTGGTGTTGAGGCTGCTGGAGTCTCCCTGGGGCAGCCCTGAAGCCCCACTGCTGGTAAATTCAGCTGGTTTTAAGGAGGCGGAGGGAGGAGCTGCTCTTTTGTTTTAGAAGGTTCCGGAAGGACCTGGGGTTGAGTGGGAACACAAAGGTTGTCAAGGCACTGGCACTTCATGAGGGGGCCTGTGTGGCCTCTGGGGAGGCCTGAAGGGAGGGGGTGTGCTGCAAACGCTGGACACGCCTGGGGCAGCGTGCTCGCCCTTCCTGGAGGTGTTGGGGGCAGTGGCGGGTGTCCCTGGCTGGAATCACGGGAGCAGCGCTGGCGTTCCAGGTTTTGCCGGCAGGCGGAAGCGTGTGCAGCTGCCGGGGTCGTCACCCTCCACCTGGTTTGATAGTGGGGAGGAGGGGGGCACTGTATTTTGGGAAAGAGGTGGTGTCAGGAGGCCACAGCCCGATGGGGGGACGAGAGGCCACCAGCACCATGCCCCCAGCCGCTGAGCCACCTGCTCTCCTCAGGAGGGGTTCGTGCAAGCAGAAGGGCCTCAGTGGATCTTTGTGGCGGGAAGACTGCCCCCCGCTGTCCCCACCCCCTGCAAGAAGCGTGCGCTCTCAGCCCAGCCTCTGTGCACCCGGACCTCACATCCCACTGCGGGGCAGGCTTGGGGGCCTGCAGACAGCGGTGAGGACAGGGAGAGGAGCGGGGACGGGCGGGTCTCCTGCAGGCCCTCGTCAAGGCCCTCATCAAGGCCCAGAAATCCTTGGCCCCGGTGCTGAGCACAGGTGCAGGGTCAGGAAACAGGGCTGAAGTCAGTCAACTTTGACCTGTCCTGGGGTGAGACAATCCCACCTGGCGCTGGGTCTCCTGGGTCCCTGGGAGAGCAAGGCTCTGAACAGCCCCGTCCCCAGTTACTGGGGGTGAGGGGGTGCTGGGGAGCCCAGCACAGGGTGTGCAACAGCCCACCCACCTGGAGGGGGTCAGCTTCCGAGAGCGGGGGTCCAGGATGCTGCGGGACGTCCTCACAGGCCGATTTTCCCTTGACTTGCAGGGAGAAGCAGTGTTGGGGGCCGGGCAGGAGACGGCCCCCCAGCTGCCCGCACAGACCCCGGAAGAGAAGAGGGTCCTGGAGAGGAAGCTGAAGAAGGAGCGGAGGAAAGAGGAGAGGAAGTGGCTGCGGGAGTCGGGAGCAGCCCAGAGCCTGCCGGCCAAGCGCTCCAGGGCCCAGCTGGCCCTAGACTACCTCTGTGGGTAAGGTGACCCCCTCCCGCGGGGCCCGGCCGGTGTCCCAGGGGGTCTGTGCAGGGAGGGACACGGGCTGCAGACTCAGCTGACCTAGGACCCATCTGGCTCCTGGGACCACAGGGACCCCGGGGCCTGTAGCGCCACCTCCAGTGGTGTCCCCACAGAACCAGCGCCTCCGGTGGGGCAGTGTGAGGGAGGGGAGAGCCGCCATCCCGGGCTTGAGGAGCTGGCCGTGCCGGGGGAGCAGAGCGCGGTCACCGCAGCCTCGGCCGGAGCCCTCGGACTGCCCGCGGCCCGTTTCACCCTGTCGTTACAAGCGGGCAGTGGCTAGAGGATACATTGCTAACAGCTGCATAGGAGACTTTCTAGAAGCTCCGGGAAAAGCGAGGCCCCTGTGAGACCACTGGCTTCTGTTTGCCAAGAAACTTGTTGGGAGGGGGCGGCATGTGCCCCAGCCAGTCGCCACGCCTGGTGCTCCTCCCCGGGAAGTGGGTTCCTCCTTTCTCCGATCGGTACTCACTTGAGGCCAGGAGCCTTAGCAGCTGAGAGCAGGGTCAGCCTGGGAAGCCCGCCGTGGACGCACGGTTTCACCCCTCCCATAGTGTTTTTGGGGAATGGTTTACATGCGGCCACCACACAGCCAGTTCGGAACGCCCTTGTCACTGCAGAGAGCGGCCCCCTGCCCCAGCTCCAGGGGACCCCTCATCCACCTCATGTCTCCGTGGACATGGCTGTTCGGGACATTTCCTGCGAAGGGACTCATTCACCACGCGGCCTCTCATGGCCTGCTTCTTCCACGCGGTGTACTGTTTGGAGGTGCGTGCACATGGCAGCGCGTGCCACAACTTCCTCTCCCCTCACAGCCAAATGCTGTGCGTGGTGTGTGCACCACGTTTTGTTTGTCCGTGCACCCGTTGCTGGGCATTGGGGTTGTTTAGCCACGTGGCCGTTGGGGCTGTTGCTGTGGTGCATGTCTATGTGCGGGATTCTGTGTGGACGCAGTTTCTTTTGTCTCGGGCACACGGGCTCCCTGGCGACTCTGGTGTGGGAGGAGCTGCGGACACATAGCGGCCGCGCCATTTCCAACCGCACCAGTGGGGGCGCCGAGGACGGCCCTCCTGGCGGGTGTGGGGTGCTGTCTCACCGAGCCCTCCACCGGCGTCCTGTACGCTGTTGAACCAAATCCGGACACTGCGCTAGGCTGCTGGGCTGCCCCCCTGGGCTCCTCCCTGGAGGGTCACTGGATGGACTCAGTGAGGAGGACAGAGTGCTCCCGGGAGGACAGCTGCCCGCTGGCTCTTGAACCTCCACCTGCGGAGTGCTGGAAGGCCCTGCCGCGGCTGCGCCGGGGGCAGGAATTCTCCGGAAGCCCGCCCGCTGGCTGGGAAGAGGGCTGCACACGGGCTCTCGGCGATCTCTCTGCCCCACTCCTCCTTCACTGGCCCCTCGGAGCGGCTGGCCGGAGAGCGGTGGCCTGGACTGCAGTCAGGAGTCCCCATCCCCTGGCCCTGGTCATCAGCCATAAGGACGTGTGGTTCTGTGCCACCTGGGCCCTTCCGTCTCCCCTGCACTCTTGGCTACCGGGCACAGTGGGGCTGTGCCGGAACCAGCGCCCCCTAGGGAGTCCAGTCCCCAACGTTGGTGTCACTTGGGCAGTTCCCAGCAGAAGGGCTAGGATTGGGGCCCGGGGACCGGGCTGGGGATCCATATCTGCTGGGACCGGGTGGCTGGCACAGCCCTCCTGGCTTCCCCAAACTTAGCAGGTGCCGGGAGGAAGTCCCAGGCCCACATGTCCCTGGCAGAGGCGGGGGTGGCCCAGCTGCGAGTCGTGGGTGTGGAGGGGTGCGCCCTGCTCACCGTTACCAACCAGGACCCTTCTCGGGTCGGCGCACTTCTTATCCCAGCACACGTTTCTCCGGTCATTGAGGCCTGCCTGGTGCAGGGCTTCAGTGCTGTCGATGCCGCCAGCGTCCTCTGAGGTCAGAGCTGACGCCGCCACCGCGCCAGCGTCCTCTGAGGTCAGAGCTGACGCCGCCACCGCGCCATGCTGAGAGCCAGCGCTTATTCGTGCCCCCCTTCGCGCTTCCCCTGGCGCGACCCCCTGCGTGCCCCCCCGACGCACCCCCCTGCGCGCCCGGCTGATGCGCTCCCAGGCAGGGTCACGGGTCAGCACTGGAGACAGGAGCAGGTAGACAGGCCAGGTAGGTGCCAGCCACGGAGTGGACCTCAGGCTGTACAGCAGGTCACAGACGGAGTCTGGGGCGGGCCGCCAGTAAGGACGGGCCAGGAGGCCTGCAGTGCCTGTGGTCGCTGTCTGTGTTGACCCTGTGTGGAAGGCAAGAGGGAGGGCTGGGGGCCCAGTCTTTGCTCCACTGTGTGCAGTGCCCAGATCCCTGGCTGTCACCTCAAGGGCGACTGCCCTGTCCGGACTGCCCCCATTACCTAGAGGCCAGCCCGGGGACCCTGTCCATGTGCTGGTCGGCAGCCTGTCCTCGCTTCAGGCCTCGCCTCCAGCCCGCGTGGGCTCCCGAGGCCACCCAGTGCCACCGTCCCCATGCCTGACGGCAGTAGGTGATACACAGATGGAGCCGTGCCGTGTGTGTGCACGTGGAATGTCAGTGGTGGCCTCTGCACCCTGCAGGAGCCCCAGGAGTGGCCCTGGGTGCCTGTGGGATGTCACAGCCCGGAACAGAGGTGCCCAGCATTCTCTCCTCCTGAGGCCTCGCACCAGGCTGCCCTTGGTGTGGGCCGCAGCCCCTCTCTCCTTGTGCACAGGGTCCCCCGCATCTGCCCAGCAGACAGGACCATCCTCCTGGCAGGAGGCCGCGAGCTGTGCCTCTTGCCACACGGGGCGATCCTGTGGGAATGAGGCTCCACCAGGGGTGGCTGGGACCCCATTTTCCAGCCAAGCTGGGCCACGCTGCTGAGGCCAGCAGGGGTTGGAGAGCTCCTATGAGCGGCAGTTCTCCTCGAGGGGGGCCCCCTGCTCTCCCTTAAACTGGGACAGGAACGTGTGAGTGCCCCACATTACAGACAGGACTCCAGCGGCTCAGAGCTGGGGACTGGAAAGTACCAAGCTGGAATGCAGACCACGCTCTGTGCCACGCTCCGTGGCCACACTGCCCGTGGTGTCTGTTGCAGTCCCCACACCGCAGTGCACACGTGGACAGCGGCTGGCGTGCTGTGTGACAGATACGGGTCTCGGCGCTGCCAGGCCACCAGGGCGGGGGGAAGTGAGGGGCCCGGAGCAGATCTGCAGTGGCCTGTTGGGGTTGTGAGCCGCGGTGCGCCAGCCTTGCAGCCCCACCCCCAGTGTGGGCCGCACCGTGGGTCAGCTGCCCGGGCAGGCTACAAGCAGGGCAGAGGCAGCATGGAGGCCCCCGAGTGGGTGGCGGGGCCTGCGGGTCGGTGGGATGTGGAGCCCCAGCAGCTCAGGACCTTCTTGCAGAGGCAAGAGGCTGCTGCCCCCTCATCACAGCCGAGGACCCTCATTACACCTGGGTCCCAGTCCAGGCACCAGGATCGACCTTCCTGTCAGCTGAGATAAGGTTTCTTTCTGCCTCGACGATGGAGCTGGGATGCCTCGAGGGGCCGTGGCTGCATCAGGCTTGAACATGGGAGTTGGCATGTGTGCGGTCTGCGGAGGGGTTCGTAGGGTTGCCCTGAGGGCCGCGGTGCGGGGTGGGGCTGGTGGAGGTCAGAGACAGTCACCGGCTCAGGGGCTCCAGAATCTGCCCGATGCTGGGGCTCAGGCTGGGCCTCGGCCCAGAGCTCCCTGTGGAAGTAGAGCCTCAGAGCTGCCGTCAGACCTGTCGCCCCTCTTGCGCCACGCCTCTGGGTGGCCATGGGCTTGGGGCCTGGGCAGTGACTGTTGAAGTGTCCTTCATCTGTGACCACGTGGTGCCCAGAGCCGCGTTCTCTAGGAGCCATCTAGGACTTCGCACCCCCTCGTCACCGGGGTGTCTGCACTGGTCCTGGGTCCCCACTCCCTCCCTGCCGACCCCAGTCTCTCACTTTCTCTGCTCCGCAAAATACAGATCCTCCATCCCTGCGGGCCCTGCCTCTCAGCGAGGCGTCTCCAGGATGGAGCCAGAACCCCAGCAGGTGGGCTGGCTTGTCCGTGTGCACCGTCACCGTCATTGTCCTTGTTTGTCTGGGGGCCTCCTCTCTGCCTGTCCTAGGCGTGCCAGGGGCCCCCAGCTGGTCCCCGCACTTCCTGTGGGCCCACACGGCATATCTGAAGCTGTTCTGGCACTCCCTGGGGGCTCAGGTGACCAGAGCCCTGGGGTTAGGCAGGGGTGTTGCTTTGCGTGCACAGCCCGTCCACGTTGTCGATGTGGCAGTGATGGGAGCCAGGTCCACAGAGCTCCAGGTCCCAGGCAGTGGAGCTCGGCACCGCCACACCGTGTCAGCCTAGGAGGGACCCCACAGGCCCTGGGGTGAGGTCACGTGCCATCCTCGGGGTGGGGGGATGGGCCAGGGTGCAGCTGGTCGGTGGAAGCACAGGGAAAGCTTGTTACAAAGAACGACTAAGCGTAGTGAGGGCTTGCCAGTGAATCGAGAACTCGAGACCCAGGAGGAGCAGATTCCAGGGCAGCCACTCCCCCAGGGCTGTGAGGAGGCCCAGTCGTGGCTCACAGAATGGCAGAGAAGCCACAGGAGCCAAAGCCACAGGAGCTGAGCCCACGGGACTTGCCAGGAAGGCTGCTCATGGGCAGTCTGGCCGGGGCCACGGTGGACCATCAGCTCCCGGGGGTTGCTTGCCGGAACCAGGATGGAAGAGCTTTCCTCTATCCAGCGCCTTCTGCTTCACATCGGACCATCTGGCAAAGGAAGTCCTCTGTTTCCACGGAGCGGGCAATGGGGGAAGATTGGAGGCAGAGGCCATGACTTGATGACCCGCATGGGGGAGGGCGTCCCTTGGGAAGATTTCTCTTTTCCCTCCATCCCTTCCTCTAATGACCACTGTTGTGGTTTCTGCTTTCCCACAAAAACCCGTTGGCTTCTGTGGAGCCAACGAGAGCTCTGGGACCCCCCTACGCCGTTCTCCCCCCGCCCCCCCACCGAGTAGAGGCCATGAGGCTGCAGCTAGAGCAGTGGTCACACAGCCCTGGGGGCTCACCCTCTGCCCTTCTCCCCACGGACATCGGCACCCGCGAGTCCCAGACATGCCAGCCTCTGGCCCGTGTTCACCTCTCAGCTCCGAGAGCCTGGCCCTGCGGTCCTGCCCAGAGCAGCCACCCACCTTGACGTATTTCCTCTGACACCTGAAGCTACCTGCCTCCTCATCCTCCGGCCTCTACAATGTGGGCTGCATGTCAGCAGGCTGGCTTTGCTGCTATGGCCTTGGTGCGGGGCGGGGGGGGGGGGGGCCTTTGGAGGCCTTTGGGTTGGGAGGGTGCAGGCCAGGCGGCTCTAGCGGAGGCATGGGGCTGGCGTGGCCGGATTTCTTTCTCTGTCCCTGGCGTCCAAGCAGCCCAGACCAGGGTGGCCCTCCAGGTCGGGGTTCTTGGCTCCTCCTAGCTTCCTGTCCCTCACCCTCCACACACAGCTCTCGGATTAAAGGCTGTCCGCACTCTGGTGGGCAGGCTCTGCCGTAGCACATGATAAAGGCTTTGCAAGAACGGCTGATGTCACGAAATTCCGGATGTGCACGTTGGCATCGTAAAATCGTGGCATTGTAGGGCTGGAAGAAAGAGCCCTGTGCCACTGGTGCCGATGTGGAGGCAGGCCCAGCTGGCCGAGGCCTCACAGGCGTGCGGAAGTGAGATGTCCTCCCAGCACCAGGCACCTGAGCGCCCTCTGCTACTGTTCCTTGTCTGCTGCGCTCCAGCTGGGGGAGCGGGGGCTTCACACACCCTTCCGGCTCCTCCTGCCAGCACCTGAAATGTCCTGTCCTTGCTACCTAGCTGGGCCGAGAAGCACGAGAACTGGAGATTTCAGAAGACGAGGCAGACCTGGCTGCTGATGCATATGTACGACAGTGACCAGGTGTGTGCACACTTGGGGGGGAGGGGGGCGCTAGGTGTGTGTCCCTGGTGGGGAGGAGAAGGGAAGATGGGTGCATGGGGGGTGGAGGGGTCTCCCAGATGACAAAGTCTGTGCATGCTTGGGGGTGGGGTCAAGTCAAGCAGTGACCAGGATGGAAGGACCCAGTGCCAGGGCCTGCTCCAGCCACACGGGCCTGAGACCTCCCCTCCAGCGGGGGTGTGGGAAGGGCAGGCCCCCAGCAGCCAGGCCTGGCCAAGGCTGTGGTTAAGAAAGAGGCCCTAACGATTGTGGTGGGACCCCCCCCCACTGCCAGGAGCCCCCAGTCCAACCCCTCATTTTACAGAGGGAGGGCCTTGCTTGGGGTCAGGGGGTAAGAACCCTTGTGCAGAGCAGGGGCTTGTCCAGAGGCCAGGCTTAGGCCAGGGGCTTGCGGTCTTGGGGCCTGAGCCATCAGCCCGCCCGCTTCCATCGAGCTGGACCTTCCCCAAGGAAGCTGCCACTGTTGGGGGAGTGGAAGTCCTGCCCTTCCCATCTGTTGACCCTGGGGGGTGGAGGAGACAGTGTGTGCCCCCAAAACTCCATCGTGCCCCCTTCCTGCAAATGAGCCCAGCTCACAGGACCACCATGGGCTCTGCTGGTCCTTGGTGGCTTCCGTGGGCAAGGGTACCGTCCACAGTCGCATTTGCTTGTCTGCCCCTGTCATTTCCTTTAGTCTGGAACTTCCCTCACAACCTTGATGTGCCCGGAGAGGCCGGTTGTCAGATAGCTGGGACATGTTTGTGCCCTCCCAGCACACTCAGTAGCAGGTGCAAGGTGGTTGGACACGGACGTCGGTCCCGTGATTGGGGGGACACTGGCTAGTTTTGCTCCTGTAGTAATCAGCTGTGTCTGTGGAGTGGCTTCAAGATTATGGAAACACCCCGTTCCTCATCCCCCCTGTGCCCGTTGGTCTTAGCATCCATCAGCAGCTCTGGTCTGGGTCAAAGGTCACCGCGGTGCTGGCCACGTGTATGCGTCCTCTTCTGCATGCGTCGATCACGTGGCTGTAGGGAAGGGCCTGGCCCCCTCCCTCATGGCTCTGTGTTGGGGCAGGTGTGTGCACGCGGGGGGTGCGGGTGTGTGCATGCTGGGGTGCAGGTGTGTATACACCCTGTGGGGTGCAGGTGTGTGCACGCGGGGGATGCGGGTGTGTATACACCCTGTGGGGTGCGGGTGTGTGCATGCTGGGGTGCGGGTGTGTATACACCCTGTGGGGTGCGGGTGTGTGCACGCGGGG